TTTTGGTTGGCAGCAGCAATTGTGGCAATTTTAATTATACTCTGATTGGTTTTGTATGTTTCACTCTCTTCATATGATTTTTTTCCTTGTTATATTGTATATAAAATATGTATTGTTCCATGGTGCTCTTTAGTTATAATGTTTAAACTTCAAATTTTACTGAAGAAATTATTTTTTCCCTTTCTTCCATTCAGGAAAGCTGTTGAGTTTCTTAGCAGTGAGGGACATATATACTCCACTATTGATGATGAACATTTCAAGTCTACAGATGCTGACTAAGGTCTGATTGATTTATAATAATCCGGGTCCAAAGTTTTAGAAGATCCAAGACTGTTTTGCGTGATCTAAGTCTCAGTACTCTTGACATAAGACTGAATGGAACATGGGGACATGTCTAGGACAGATGCCTCCATCCAACTGTTTTGTGGAGAAGGGGTTGCCATGGTTTAAGACTTCCTTAGCTTTTTCTGTAAATGGAACCATTCCTTTAAAAAGTATTTTTTTACTAATATAGCAGTAGTTTATTCTCAGTAGATATTCAATCTAGGATGCTTTGCATTTCATAAAAACTTTGGAATGTCAGAATGTTTTGACTTTGCTCCAGGTTCTGTTTTCTTCTAGCTAAATATTATACTATGCAATTTTGTACACTTGAAGCCCCCATAACTCTGTAGAATCACATTATGCAGCCTTGTACAATATTGGATTTTGCCTAACTCAGAAATCCTACTTAAACATAATTATGCAATTTGATTTGGGGATGGATTCTTCAACTGCAAACAGTAGATTAAGATTTATTATTAGTTTAACAGTTTTATTTTAAATTCAGAGCAGAATTAACACATATCCTGGAATCTGATTCGATTATTCACATAATTATTGATGCAAGCATGTACAGACACTAATGTAGTTTACATACTCAAATTCTGGCTGAGAATGTAAACATTTTTGAAAGTTAAGATGACAATGCTGACATCTAATACATGTTTAAAATATAATAAAATCTTTGTTCTGAAAGTATCCTTGTGTCTCAAAGTATGTTGAAAGAATAATGTAAAAGCTTGGTCAGAATTGGACCAAAATGCCATGTTTTTAACTCCTGGGCAGGATGTATCCCAGGGTTATTTTGTATGGTTATGCCTTTCTAAGTTTAAGTCTTCCTAATTCTCATAAATGGGAAGGATGGTAGGTTTTTTAAAAAAATAAGTAAATAAATTTCTATGGTTTTCTAGAGCACTATTTGTTTCTTAGATTTAAAACCTGCCTCTCCTCCATTAGTTCATATTTACCTCTCATCTCCCTGCTGTCCTCTACAACCACCCTGTGAGGAAAATTGAACAATGATTTATCTCAAGTCACTCTTGACTTTCCACGAATGACAATGGATCATCCTTTTTACCTCAACATTTCAACCTTTATTGTGATGGAATGTAGCAAGGAGGTGGATTCAGAGGACGGAGGGGTTGCAGTCCAGAGTAGAAAGAGACAACACATTTTGCATGAGAGGGGTGAAAGGAAGGCTGAAGACAGCCCCTCCTAATATAGAATACATGGTAGATGTAGATAAGACTGCTTAGTCTGGCCAAGATTCTGTCTACAAGTGTGGAAACAATAAAAGAACTTAGTTGGGAATGTATGTGCCCATGTGTCATTTTGGGTTTCAGACCTGGCAATTACTGATATATGCACCTCAAGTTGTTTGGATCAAGAGCATTTGCAGCTGCCTGAAGTATCTTGGGTTGGCCCAGATTTTAAATGTACTGGTACTTTTGCATTCTAGGTCTCTTCCGGTTTGAGCTTGTCCTTTACCTTTATAAGTGAAGATACCCATCCCCCACCCACCCCCAAAATCCTATTGAATTACCTTTACCAGCAGCCTAATTAGTATCTCACTTGTAAAAAGTAGAATGTCTCCTACCCTTTGTGAACTATTGTTTTCATTTTGAAGCAAGATTTAACTTCTTAATATCTGGCACACAAGTATCTCATGCATGACATTTGTTCCAATTTCATATCACCAAAACACTTTGACGCAGACTACCAAAAGACATCACTTTTCCCAGTAAGAGGAAATGAAATATGACCTTGTCTCTCTCTTGGTTTATTCTGGGTGATGCGGCTCCTGTACGAATAGAACATTTTAGTGATATGTATCCCAAGAGAAGAGATGCAGATGTCCCAAAGTACAGCCGGAAAAGAATAATCCAAAAAGGGATTTAATCCAAAATAATCCTTTCTAGATTTCCTGGAAAAATACGAGGATCCATGTAGCATTTACAGTCTGACACAATGATTCATCAGTATTATGGCCCATTTCTCTGAGTTTTTCAGTACAACCACACTTAGAAAACTGCATACAATTCATGTCTCTAAACACGAACTATAATAGTATTGTAGACCTGAAAAAACGGGCAAATGATTTAAGGAATGTAACAGCTTTTTTTTCAAGGAACAGAATTGGTACTCTAGTTGAGAAAAAATAAGAATGGACAAGAGATGGGAAGTATGAATTCATGTTACTAAAAATGTGGGTACTGTACTTTTGTAAGTACTAGATGAAACTGGAATTCACTGCCATCCAGAATAGTGAGCGCTGTCAATGTAATTTAAAGACAGGCTTGAACAATCCACAGCGTTAGCAGTCTTGTCTCAATGGCTTTAAGCAATCCTCAGAATTAATAAAGGTAGTCCTCATTTAGCGATCACAACTACAACTGGCAACTCAATCGCTAAGTGAAGCAGTCACTAAGACCATGACTCTGACTGTGATCTTACTTCAGCTTTTTCTTTGGTTCTACACATCTGTAAACACAAGACTTGGTTTAAAGTTACTTATTCATCATATAGTTATGTGATGATTGTTTAACATGGTTGTTAAACGAGGACTGCCTGTATGCATCCAATATCAGTGACGAAGAACAGCATGGGAATATCACCGTTACATCCCACTTGAAGGCTTCCTAGAAGCATTAGCACAGCATACTGTCACCCCACAACTCTTTCGTATTTTATTATATTAAAAACATGGTATATTACTTTGAATATTCTCGTTAAAGAGAGCAAGGTTAAAAAAAAAAGGATGGAATGGAAATTAGTAATTTTTACCCTGTGAAATCTGGGAATACACATTAAACTCTCCATTTGGCAAAACAATCATTTAATTTACAGTGTAATAAAGGTTACAGATAAAAAGCTCAACAGTGTGAAAAGGCCTATTACACAAATGTACAAATGTCTGTACAGAGCCCCACACACTTAATTCCTCCCCTCCCTGCCCCAATTTCAGCCAAGCTTGGCTTCAAAGAACTGAAAAGACAAGTCTATACTATCCCAGGGAGGTCAGGGCCAATGCTACCACATAGTAAATTCCCAGGAGATGTATTTTGCAAGAACCAACTATTTTTTTTCTTAAATCTTACTTTAAAATCAAGCAAGGAAAAGTTCAAGTGTTTTAAATTCATCCCATATTGAACAGGTACCCCCACAAATTAAGGAACCATTCCACAGCCTTGGGAAAAGTAATAATAATCCAATGAGATAAAATTGCAAATGAAATGAGAGAGGATTTGAAGTACAGGACAAAGTTCATTAGTCATTAGCAATTTCTTCCAAGTATTATGTTACTTAACATAATTTTTTTAATTGCATTTTTTAAGAGGCCTACCATATAAAATGAAAAAGAAAACCAGACATTTCAGAAGTATCCATCTACTATATACTCCAATTATGATATAATCCAATATACCACAGGGGGAGCAGTTGTTGAGGTTGGGCAGGTACAACTACAAGGAACTGTTTGGCTGCAATAGTTAAATTATCCGATACAATACTTTTGAGGGGAGGTGCAGTTTTGGATAACTGCAAAGTTTCCAAAATGACAGCCATCTTCTATTAGCTCATTCAACATTGCCAATTTTAATTGGGGGAAGTCATGGATGAAATCTACTGGACCAAGTGCTTATAACATATGACACCTGCCCATTCTTGTGCTACAAAGGATTGTGAAGTGCCCCTAAATACCCAGAATCAAGAACAGGGATGATCACTAGCTTGCAGTCTTGAGAGTATCTAGATTAGATCATATGGGACAATATACCTCCCATTTAATAGCTATTTGGGGATACACAGTTCATACATTGAGTCAGTGGCAAAGTCTTGCTTGAAATATTTGGAACAGGAATGAAAATCTTTAAATCTTTTTTTTTTTTGTTCAGTTAAAACAAAACTAACTGCAGAATGATGGAGCTGAGTTTAAGCAATGATTTTAAAATGTGCAGTTTGATGTAAGAACTGGCTGACCAATTTCAGGGCTAAGGAACTGTTTGGGGAAACAGCATTAATCTTAATATGCTATCTGAATATCATACAAGATTATTGCTGAATGTTTTACTCCTTGGTTCATCAACATAGTTAAAATGTGGCTATTAGGTAACTCTTGTTCTATTAAGGACTGGTCATAAAATTTTTTACTAAATCTAATTTTACTAAATCTGAAATGGTCATAATCTTCTCAGTAGTTCCAATCAAGAATGTCAAAAAGCAATTAATTCCATGACCATTTAATTTGGTTTGCAGTCATCAAAATGATGGTAGTTTACCTCGCAAATGCAAAGAATTCTACCTAGACTAAAAGCACTTCATAATCCTGAGATACAAAAGCAACACATGGTATTTGACTTAAAATGATTACTGATGTGCTTGTCAAAATACTACGGAAGTGTCAAGAACTTCTGCTAGGGCGAGGGGGTGGGTGTTCCTTTGAGACCAGCTGACCCAAAAAGAAAAGAAAAAGAACCAGGACGCTATCAGCAGCAAACCACCTGCCATTTCTACAGCTGCAACATATACACAAGGGCAGCGGCCCTTAAATGCACGAATAATGCCAGAACAAAAGTAAATAGGCCACTGTAATGTCTGGTAAATGGAAAAAGAACCTGCCAGGCAATGTGGTTCCACAGGCAGTGAGAGATACATTTTTGCATTTCATTTCTTAGACACCTTTTGAACTCTTCTGAAGGTTGGTTGTGTAAGGGAGTCACAAGCCCCTCCAAAATCTGGCTGTGACCCCAAGTCTGAGAGTTTGTGGTTGCACTTGTACAGTTCCCCCTTCCCCGCCTGGCTTCCGGCTTCTGACTCCTGCCTCCCGGAAGGGACTCAGATTGGCTCTTCAGATCAAGAGAGAAGGGGTCGGCTTCTTGCCCGGCCAAGCTTCTTTTGCGTATTTCTTTTTCTTGGGCTCATTCACAACTTCGGGATTAAAGACAGCAGGGTTGGGAGCTGGGTTCATGGCAACAGTGGAGGGGGCAACCGGAGTCAAGTCCACATCCGGGGCAAGATTAGGATAGGGCATTGGTAACCCCCCAATGAGCGCTGTGCCGTGAATGGTGTGTGTCTGGGCACCTGCCTCATTGTGGGTGGGAGGCAGGCCTCCATACAGTCCTCCACTGTAGGAAAAGTTCTGCATGCGACGAGTTGCAGCCTCATCCACAGCCAAGGAGCCAGAATTGTCCATCCGCTTCTTCTGTCGAGAAACAACACACGGAATTAAAATGTGTCCCAAATGCAAAGACATTTAGCAGGATCTGAGCTTTTGTGAGGAGGTGGGTCTCCAGAAGAGGGGGGGGGCGTGCATGCCAGAGAAGTAAGAGGCTACTCCGCTCAGGCATCATGTATGAGAGGGTGAAGACAGCCCCCTACCACCATATAGTTCACAGAATATATTGTAGATCAAACTGGGCAACTTTAAGACTTGTGGAATCCCATGGCTGGCTGAGGAATTCTGGGATCTGAAGTCCAACAAATCTTAAATATTGTCAGGGTTGGACATTTCTGCAGAAGGTGCAAATAGGAGAGTCTTCAGTCTGACAAGATTTTTTTTTTCTATAGGTGTGAGCAATAAGGAACTCATCCCGGAAGAATTAACACGTTATTCTTGGTTTTGGGCCTGACAATTTTTCACTTCAAAATACCAACTCACTGTTAACAAGGTTAAAAACAGAATTAGGTCATGAATTTCAATTCCTTGCACTTTCCATCTTTATCAAGTCATATCTAAGCCTGTCCTCTCACAGTTGTATCCTAGCAGTTAAAACCTCACAGAGAACTATTTTAATTCACAGCTGAGAATTTGGTTCTCTGTGAATCTATTTCTTCTTTAAAGTTAGGTAGCCCTCTGTTCAGTGATGCATGGGTAGAATTCAATTTCTAACCATTACTGAAGAAATACTTTTTAATTTGCATGTCAAAGCAAGCTGTGAACTATGGAAATGAATCTTGATTAAAACTTCTTCCTGGCAACACAGAAAAGGGAGAGTGAAGGCAATCATCTGTATTTCTGCAGTCTGGTAACCAGGGAAAATGGTTGTTATATAAAATGGAATTCCACAGCTTTTCATCTGGATGACCTTTATATTATATTTGTTATTTTTCACTTTGTGGAACAAAAGATGATTGTTGATGAATTCAATTCTTCTTCTGTTCTATTGAAACCTAATTTCTTTACATATTTCTGTCCTTGGCAAAAATTAATTGTAATCTAATTGGCAACATAGTCCACTGGGAAAAATCTAATTAGGATCCAAATGCAGGTTCTAATACTGACAGTATATTTGTTCCGATTTAGCAGTAATAAGAATCAGAGTGCTTAGACTATACCCATATTATTTTAATACACTAAAGAGCCATATCAGCTATATTCTTCAACTTAGTTACATACCTTCACTGGAACTACTGCAGTCTGTACCATGTTTCTGAAACGCCCAACGGAAGGGTCCACGTCCTCTGTAGGAATAAAAGAGATTGAAGTACAGCAGTTAATCATAAATGGAATCTTAGGAGTATATTTAGCACTGAAAGAATTTAATGCAAGTCTTTCCAAAAGGAAAGGCATTACGTTAATTATCTTCTTTAGGAAAGTATCTATATATTGATACATGTTTGCATGCAAGTAACAAGGCAAGCAGCGTTCTTTAGGAACAATCTACGGGTCCACAGGGATCAGTGATGGGGTACCCTCCAGATGGTTTGCACTATAACTGCAGCTCTTGACCATGATAGCCAGAAGGGGTGAATTGTAATTCCAACCATCAGAAGGGGACTGGGTTGCTTATTCCTGGCCCACATTACTCACCTGGATTAATGATTTCATCGTCATCGCTGAATGTTACTCGTGAGTTCTTTCGTTTTCTTTTTGGTCTCTGGATATCCAAATTCCCTTCTTCTATTGTCAATGTGGAAATCCTCTTGTTATGGGCCGTATTGAACTCTGTCAGGTTCTAAGATGTCAAAGAGAAAGAGATTGCTATTACAGTACAGTTTAAAGGATTAACAATTTGAGGTGATGAAAACTGTGCTATAATTTCCTACTCTGTTGTGGCAATCACGATATCTCTGGAACAGACAGAACTTTATCCTTCTATGGGGGTTTACTAGGAGGGGAAAAGAGGCATTGTAAACCTTTGGGGGGAAATTCTTCCTTTTTGGAGGAATATTGGGGTTTATGATATGGCAAAGCTTTAGGCATCTATTCTGTCTTCTAAAACCTGCTACCAAAATGTAAATTCGAAAACATCAGCTCCATTTTTTGAGAGGGACTACACAGCTTTTAAACCCTAATCAAGAGTAAACTTCAAAAGGGGATCAGAGCAAACTTGAGCAGCTCTTGGTTTGGCCCACTGAAGAAGATATCCCCAGATAAAACAAGCAAGAAGAATCTGGCTGGAAGAATTTGGTCACTACTATTTTCCTCTTGCCTGGGGCCACACAGCAAATCTGTCAGACAGGAACCTCCCTCTCCACTTTTAAGGATAGCACAGCTCTACTCAGGTGCTAGTGCCAAGCCACAGTTCAAGCCAAAAGGTCTCTGTCCCCTTCATAAACTAGATATATAACATGGATACCACAATGCAGGTGAAACACTGTGCTCACATCTAACTCTGTTTCTTCCTCCGGCAGACCAAGCAAGCCCTTGAGTTCGTCGTCTTCGCTGGTCATCTTCTCATCTCCTTTCACTGCCGAGGGCAATGTCTGAGGCTTTTCTCTCAAGGTGTAGGCCCGCGTGGAGGCACCAAATGAAACCGTGGAATCAATGGGAATCTGTTGCGGCTTATGAGGTTCCAAACGAATATGGCCCAAGAACGTGCCATGTGCTATGCATTTTAGAATAAGAAGGAGAGGAAAAGCAACAAATACTAATCATGTTACTAAAATACTACCTAAAGCACAGTCTTTTTCCTTAATTTTTGTGTGTTCCTCCCTCTTAACCAGTGCACCATACTGTCTAGTTACTTTAAAAAATACTTGCACACCCCATCAGGATGCCCTGGACATTGTTTATCAACTTACTGCTGTTGAGATCTATAAGAAAAACTCTCTTCAGATGTTTATGGTAGACTAAAGCAGCATGGACCCGAGAGCATGACTGGTGATCTATGGTGAAGTCGCATAGGTCGGGGTTTCTACCAAAGAGATAGTATTTCTTCTCATCGATGATCAGTTTCTGTGAGAAGATAACAAAGAGAAATGGGTGGATTTTTCGGGGGGAGGCCTATACTTTCTTAAAATCATTGGCCTAGGTATAAAAAGCCACTAAGCAAGGTCTATCTGTATTTGCAGATAAGACAATCCAAGAACAAGTCAAATCCAATTTTTGGGATATATTTTGAACTTAAAATTCTTGGTTTATCTGCAAGTAGATAGGGTAATTAATCTACATATAAAATTATTAATACCACGTGACACTGCTTTCCAGTATGGGACAATTTCTACCTATCTAAATTTGGGGTCCCCAACCCCTGGGCCATGGCCCATACCATGGCCCATTCACAACTGGGCCATAGGCCAGCACATAGGCTTACACGCAGCTCAACTCATGTAAATGGCGGGCAGGCACGGTTGAGTTGTGTGTATGCGCGTGCATGCCAATAAACCGCTCACACAAGCCAAGCAGCATGCACGTGTGGGCCAGCCTGCCACATGCACAGCCCGGTTCCCCTCCCCCTCCAGCCGGGCCACCAAACCGCAAAGGTTGGGCATCACTGATCTAAATGACAATGATACCTGCAGAAAAAATAAATTACCACAGTTGAACAACTTTACAAACAAGAATAATAAGTAGGCAAACTGATGTTCCAGAGTTACATAAGTTATAGAAAAAGAAATGGGAAAGCAGAAAAGCTAATAATTATTTTGCCATTCTTAAAGGCATCAACAACTGAAAACTCATTTGTGCCTCTGAGTTATAACCCGATGTGATTCTCCACACATGGAGCTTAATCACTTCATGGCTTAATTTTGATGTTGCACTTTTTAGACCCAGCCAATCACTAGTTTCACCTTTGAACTCTAAATGAGAACTAAGGCACAGATGGCTTGGTTAGTATCAAGTGCTTAAGATATCTGTAGAAGCAAAATACCACTATAATTTACAGTTACACATTGATAATACATTCTTCTTAAGAAGTGTTCCCACTCTAGGGATATTTGGACAAACCAGAGAAAGTTATCAGAAAATGCATGAGTCATTTGCTTAGTCCTTATATTGCTCCCTTCTTTCTTTCTTACAAGCCACACTGCAATTAAACCAGGAATGATTCAATTAATTGTAGCTTTCAATTACATCCAAATGCAGATTCTTAAAGTAGCAGCAACCAAGGTTTTCTGATTTGGAAGAGAGACAGTATTGCAATGGAGAACAAACAATATAAGAATGAAGTATCCAAATACCTTCTAACCAAAGAATGAATGCTGAAAATCTGAAATCCTGCAAAACAGATTTCTGCACAAAATACTCATTCTGGATCCAAATAGTAATCTAAATTATTAAAACAATAAAATATGTGGGTACACATTCACACCTAATAATGTAAAAGCACCATTATCTTTGAATACTTGGATGCAAATAGCCACATGCAAGTCAAACAGAAAAACAATTCAGATGGCTTGCTAGAAATAGCCAAGACAATCTAAAACTAAAAAAAAGGTTTTAGATATTCAGTCTTTCTTTTTGCCTGTGATAAGCTGTACAGCTATTCAATACTGTATGTCACCTGGCTTGTACTCAAATTTTCTGCATCTATTTTCATACCTCAATAAGTTTGTCTCCTTTGACTACATCCAAGTGCAACCCTGGTGGAGGCTTTCCTGCCCTAGGAAACAAACACAAGAAAAATATTTTGTTTAAGAATATTTAAAGTAGCCATTGGAATCTCTGAAGTTATCAACAGATGTAAAATGACCACAAGTTGCTTTGACAGGGAGAACCTGAACTTGGGCATAAAAAGTCAATTATGCTCAGTGCTGACCCTAACCTTTAGTGTAACTGAGCATTCATGAGTATATTTTAGATATATAACAAATTATGACTCAATTGCCTTAAGAAGGTTGCCTGAATAGGAAACTGAAAATCTGTTAATTTGGTCCTACAGGTCATGAAACCTCCATATCCCCTTTTTTAGGGATATGGTTTCAAGATATGGAGACAAAATAGGTATATCCTATGTATGGATTTCCTGGAAGCATCTGGAAGACCAGTGAGAAACAGCATGAATCATAATTATTACAGTGCCCTTTGGTGACAGCATCTACTTGGAGAGGTTATTTATTTATTGAATTCAACATATAAGGAAACAAATGTATCTACAAATACAGTCTTACATACTGCTGTAATGTATAGGTTTATATGCCTGATTTAGAGGATGGGATGTGGCTGGGAGACAAAACTACATAACATGACTACATAACAATCTAACATCTGTTCAGATCTTGCCTCTGCTACAAAGTATTTTAACTTTTATGCTCTCCCAAATCTGCTAGACATAAACAGTTGTATAACAGCTAAAACTGTTAATATATGTTAAGCTTTTTGAGCAGTCAATATTTCAAATGCTTATTGCAGTTATTTTTGGATGCACATATTTACCACTACAGAAAAAGACACAATCTCCAATGCTGACGTCAAGAGTCCCCGTTGTGTTGTCATTAGTTAAGGTCAAAACAATGGATATGGTACAAATAATTGTTTTGGTACAATATAGATGACTTTTTATCTTTGAAATGCCAATCTCTTTCTCTAAAAACCTTGGTGGGTCTTGTGGTACAAAATCCTTGAGCACATTTGCATTTTTAAGGCACATTTTGGCAGCTCTTCAATTGCTGCTTTAATCTCCCACTTTCACATTTCTCTTTTGTAAAGTCTAGCAAATACACAGTGAAGTCTATGATGGAACTTTCCCAACATATTCCCAAGCTGAGCTATTTGAAAAGAATAAGCCACTAAGTCTCACAATTTAATAATAAATCACATAAGTGACATAGTTGATAGCTGTAACTATTGTTATTAAAATACAAAACCTTGCTAACAAGTTGAAACTCAAATTTCCTACTTGACCACTACTTTGAATACATATTTATATACTGTACATTCAATCACTACCATCCATTATTCAGATTCTTACAACTGAGGCAAGATGTCCAAATTATCCCAAATGAATGTCCATGCTGCCTAAATCAATTTCCCCACCATAACCTCATTTTGTAGGTTTATATGAAGGACTTCAGTAACATACCTGGGATGAAAGCATATTTTGATTTCTCCCAGGCTCAGAGATTTTAAAGTAAACTTATGTCATTTGTCCATACTCAGCAGCCTACTCTCTCTCATTTCACAAAGACCGTTCAGTTAGCCATACAGCCTGCCCTTATCTTATCATATGGCGTCCTATATTGAACTTCTTCGCCATCCCTATCCTGAGGCACATCAATAAGTAGCAAGCCCTCTGAGGCACCAGAAGCATCCTTGGAGATTGAAAACATGTGTTCTGCCTAAGCTAAAAACACTTTCCCCCTCCCTCCCCATCCAATTATTTCACATACGAAGCGCCACACTGGAACGCTCAAAGGACCAATCTTGAGGGGATTCCCTTCAATCGGTCCTCCCTTCCAGGGGCTGCTACCCCTCCCGTCCCCGGACCCGCTCCCCTCTTTTAGGATGCTGCTCCGCCTCCCAAGGAAAACGCAGCCCCCTTGCACGGCCAAGTCGCTTCCCCGCTCTCCAACTTCACACGCCCCCACCCTCACCAGGTTGGGCAGTCAAAGAGTGGGAGGCTACCGCCGCCGCCACCGGCAGAGTTTGCGTTCGCCGCCATCTTGTGACTGCCCCCATTCAGCTGGACGCACGGCACGCCGGGAAGCTGGAAGACCTGGCGGGAGGGTTGCGATCCCAGCATGCATCGCGCCCAGGCGGGCAAGCGGGGATGAGAGAGGGGAAAGGGGGAAGAGACAAGCCGTAGAGGATGGAACGTATTCTATGTAAAGCGCGAACGCGGCGTTAGGGGCGACGTCACATCGACGCTCCTTCCAAGAGCGGGAACAGAGAGCCGTCGGGGAGGGAGGCCATTTTATAACTCGCGGACTTCAAGGCGGTGGGGTGTGCTTGCCTCTTGCGTGGGACCAAGTCCACGCTCTTTCTCCTGCAGTCTGTGGCGGGTTTTTTTTCTTGCTGTTTCCTCCGAGCATTTTTCTTTTAAAAAATGTGCCACTGTTCATTATTACATGATGCTTGCGCGAGAAACGTGTACGTCATAAAGCATCCACGTGCGCGCACTTCGCCTTTTTAAAGTCGCCAGCTCCTGTTTGAGGGGCGACGAACCTGCCTGAGATCTCCTCCGATTTGGAGGAGAAGCAGAGCGACGGGGACCTGCAAACCTCGTCCTTTCAGGAGATTGAGCCGGGCGCTGTCCAGTTAATTTTAGAGATGTTGATGATCCGTTAGTTAATCCGCTCAGGCAACGTCCTTGAACTAGTAGCTACATTTTTGGCAATAGTAGTTAGACTTATATACCGCTTCACAGTGTTTTTCAGCCCTCTAAATGGTTTAGCAGAGTCAACCTATTGGCCCCAACAATCTGGGTCATTTTATCCACCTCTGGAGGATGGAAGGCTGATAAGCCTGGTGGGATTCGAACTGCCAAATTGCAGGCAGCCGGCAGTCAGTAGTACAAAAACCGCGTTTCAAGTATTACAAAGTCCATCCTGTGTGGCCCTCAGGTTGGTTTTAATACTTGGTTTGTATTTTGTGCCCTAACAATGTACAATGTGAAGCCTAGAAACGAATTCTGTACAGTAATCAGGTTAAAACGTGAGTGCAGTTGCTATAGGATACTTGGATGAATTCTCAAAGTTGTGTTAATTGATAGTATTCACAAGATAGCTACATATTACAAACGATCCAATTTAAACTCAAACCCACCCACCCCCAACTGTACTTTGAGAAGACACAGGTACCATGCATTCATGGGTTGATTTTTGTATAATATGCACATATTTCCACACTGTGCCTTGGAATTGTTCTTGACTTCTGGTAAATGCTGAACATAGGTCCTTAAATTTTCATATCCAGGTTTTTCAGAAGTGATTAGTCATTGCCTTCCTAGGGCTCAGTGAACGGCTGGTACCAAGTCATCAGCTAGTTTCTTGTCTAACCAAGGCCTATAATCAGCATTTAACCATTATGCTGACTCATTTGCACACTTGGCAAAAACAAATCCTTTGGTGAATGTACTGTCTTTGATCAGTCTCATTACCTTCTGACATTTACTAACTGATATTTACAAACAGCAGGATTCTGAAGTTTTCAATTTTCAATTATTTTCTTGTACTTCAGGCAGTCTTGAAAGGAAAATGGATCACCAAGGTTATCAGAGTTGCACTGATATTTAATTAGAAGATTTAACTTGAATTAGAACTTCAGTTGTACCAGGAAAAACCACAGTATCTCCACAAATGGATTTTTCATCTTTTTATAAATGCAGCCATTTTAGCATTCAGTAGTGTTCTTTTATTATCTTGCTTCTTGCTCCCACTAGTGAAAAAAATTATATATAGGTAGTCCTTGACCTACGTCCACATTGAGCTTAAAATTTATGTTGCTAAGTGAGAGAGTTGTGAGTTGCCCCATTTTACAAACTTTCTTGCCACAGTTAAGTGAATCAGTGTAGTTAAGTTTTTTAAGTGAATCTGGTTTCCCCATTGATTTTGCTTGTTAGAAGGTCACAAAGGTGATCACATGACCCCAGGACATTGCAGCCATCATAAATGTGAAACAGTTGCCAAGCTTCTGAATTTTGATCATGTGACCATGGAGATACAACAGTCATTACCGGTAGTGTGAAAAATGGTTGTGCTACTGTAACTTTGCTGTACCTTTGAACCATCACTAAACGAATGGTTGTAAGTTGAGGACTACCTGTATTTTAGATATCACTCTCAGCTTTCTCAGCAGGTAAAATTATCTGCAATAAAAATTGAGTTGAATTTGGTAACAAATAGGGTAGCATACCTCACTTATTACTCCAGACACAATCTTCATTGGCAGTGTCTTCTACAGGGAGAGTCTTTGCAGCAAACCCATAAAACTTGTGCATTATAAAACCTTATTAGGACCTAAGCTTTCATGAATTTAAGATGCTGTTCAGAGGCATGAAACATAAATCTTTAAGTGATAACACACGAAGCACCACTTGGAATGGACTATAAGGAACAAAAGCCATACTCCAATATCTTTTCCTAACAATGCAGTCTGCCTTCAATTTGAAGTCAAATATTTTCTCAACAATTTAAAGTCAATTTAAACTGTTCAGGTGATTTCTGCTAAAAAAAGAGACATGTCAAATATCTAAAAATGTTTATTGATACTTCAATGGACGGAATGATAGTGCAAAGAAAGATGTGCAACTGAGGGCATCATTCTTCACGCAACTTTCACAGTTTAGTCATTTAAATATGTAAAATGTGTGAAGTAATAAATAGATGTTGGGAGAAAAACATTCACTACTTGTATACAGCATGTTACCAAGTCAACATTTTAGGCTTTCCATGCCCATTTTCTTTTAAGAATATCATTGACCCAAATATGCTACCCAGAAATTTCACAAAAAATTCTGAGCAGATTAAAACACCAAATCAGACATAAAATGGGTTTCCATAAAGAGACAGAAAAGTGAATCTTAGACTGGCATGCTTCTAATCCTCCCTTGATACAAAAGGTTTAAAGCTTCCTTTTACCATTCAGAACATTTTTCCTAAACTCCCAATATGGATGTTTCTTTTAGCACAAGTAGGGTACCAATAGGTCAGGATTAAACTACTTTACACATTTAAATATAGGAGGAAATCAAGTCATTCTCACTATAAGCAAAGGACAGAAGTCATATCAACCTCCAGTATTCTGCAAACTTCTTTCATTAAATCTTGTTTTCCTAGTACATTTGACTGCAATATACACAGACCGTCTAGGAAGGAAGTTGGTACTCCGAACTAGAAATCTTTTGGACAAACATATTTACCAAAATCTCAAAAGATAAGAGCCATAACCATCTGTCATCTTTCCATTTCAGACTTGGTGCCAACTTTTTACTGCTATAATAATGTACATGCTAGTGGTACAAAGTTGGGAAGAGACAGTAGGATGGGCCATTTCCAATGATGCCTTCATGAAAAAGACATCTGGACATATTACTAAGCAATTGATAGCCACCACAAAAATGGAGCAGAGAGAAACAGGACTTTAAATACAAATACCTTCAGACTAATTATTACCAAATGATTTTATAAAGAAAACACCTTGAATATGTCTCATGTTAGCTATGCTATGTTTGGGAAAATCGAGATGTTCTCTCCATAAGTTGAAAAACTATTCGTTGTCTGCTACAGAAGGTCCTATTTTTTTCCCCCCAAGCCCACTGGGCTATACTCGAAGCAGCTTCTGCGAATTGAAGTTGGGAATTGCTGTTTTAAATGAGTATGGCAGTTTCCTGTGGGGGGGGATGCACATCTGGAACAGCTGTGGATCACACTGAAAATTGCTTGGGATTTTGTACTTGGTTGTTATTCCTATATGAGTCACTTATAAAAGCAGTAGACATTAAAAAAAGTTAGATCTGTAGTATTTATGGCAATTAACCTAATCTAGATGATTGATCACATCCTTCAATACTTGGGACAGGAACATTCGGAAAAACAAAATGCCCTCCACAAGTTTAGTTACATAAAATAAATTAACGTGGACTGTCTTCATGGTTCACTAAATCCAAGAACTAGTTAGCTTCATGTTAGTTTTTATATTATAATTACTAATGGAAAATCAGTTTCTGTTCCATTTCACCTCAATCCTCTCATTCCTTAGGCTTGTTTCATGGCAGAAATATTAATTGTGTATCTAATTCCACAGAAATGCTTCATTTTTGTACTAGCCAAATGATTATTACCAAGATCAAACAAGCTAAAGCTAGGCCAGAAATTAGGAGGCAGATCTTCTTGCGTGATTTCTTCTGTTTAAAAACAAAAACAAAAAACAATAGGGTATATACTGCAGGAAAAGAGATATACACACTTTATACCAAGAAAAGTGGTAAGAGATGCAACATTCAGCTCCAATTTCAGGATTAGAGTTACAGTGAAACCATAATTTAAAAACTTGAGTATCTCAACAATGGAATGGATCAGATAAATCATTTTTAAAAAACATCAAATAGGTTTTTAACAGGTTGATTTAAAACTATTCAGAAAAGAATATTTTTGTTAGTAAGCATTGGGTTCTCTGCAATGTTTGGTTATCTTTTCAGCACTAGCACCGATGATATTACCTAGTTTGGGTAATGAAACGACTGCAAGAAAACAACTAAGCTCAGAGAGCAACAAGGACCCCTCATTTCAACCTTGAGCTACAAATATTCTCTATTAGTACTTTAAAACAAAATGAACTTTACTTTTCCCACCCTCTTGGAGGGTGGGAAGCAACAGTTAGCTCTTCCAAGACTGATGATATGTTGAAGGCTAAACATACAGTTGGAAAAGGATCAGAGTTAAGTCAGCAGAGGGGTGGAATATAGGTGCTTGTGTGCCTTTCATGCCTCCCAATTTGTCCTAAATCACAAACAGTTAAGGGACTGAACAGAAAGCTATATATTTCTCATCATTTTGGATCTGAAAACATTTGAAATAAGACAAAGTGCATCTCTAAAAGACAGATAGAAATACCAATTATGCTGCCCACACTTCTAATTATGAAAGACTTTGGGACTGGACAAAGATTACCTGATAATAAGCAGCTCTCTGCAACTGTTCATTGGCATTTTCCACATGGACTTCTGCATTCTCTACATTTGCTTCT